GCACCCATGGCCATGCCCAAGTCAAATGCCAAGGACCAGCGATGGCGCGCCGCCCACGGCCGTGCAGGAGACAGCCAACTTCGCGACGAGCGTTGGCATGGGGTGCGGCTTGCGGGAGCCACCACCGATGGGGACATTGCATGTCTCACGGGTTTTATGTCCAAATCAAGTCCACGTCAGCTTCTAACCCTACTCGTGTCTATTTTGGACCTGGATGAGATCACTTAAATATATTAGGTAGACAAACGTGCGATTTCATAGTTTGGGGACCCAAATGAGAACTGCCGAATACTTTAAGGACCGGCCGTGCAATTTACTCTTGAAAAACACATCTCCAACAACTCCCAAACCCACCTCCCAATCTTTTGGCACTTGAAAAAAACAACTCATATGCGTAAAGTTACACGCACATATCGTTGCGCCAATCTAGAGGTGGAAGGACGTGGGGAAGAAAAAAGTAGGACATGAGGTTCCTAATGTAAATGTACAAGAGAGAAATAAAGTATAAAAGTGATTAGTGTGATTTAGAAATAGATTATGATTTCTGATATAAAATTACCTTCTATCTTTTAGACGTGAAATTTTGGAAACTATTAAAGTTGTAGCTTTTTTATGTCTTTCAATATATTTTGCAAAGGATGGAAAACCTATTTTAGGATTATTTTTTAGATACTGGTGGAGATGCTCTAAGGATGTTCGTCTGTCCGGACGTTGCCGTTGATGGCCACGACACCAGCCAAACGGTCCAAATCTCCACTTCCATATCTGCTTGCCCTAACCTTATCTGCTCGTGAGCCCATCGTCTATTCCTCTCCATTCACCGCACCACTGTCGTGTCCACACCGCCGCACGCGTGCTCCAGTGCAACAATGCCACCGCAGCGCTCTCCACCGCGCGTGCTCCAGCCCGCCACCACGCCCGACCGATCGCCGACCTCTCTCTCCACCATGCTCCATCGCCGCCGCGCACCATTCTTCCTCTCCCCCGGGCTATCCACCCGTCGCGGCGTTCTCCACCGCGCCGGCCTCCTTCTCCACCGAAGTGGCCTTATCAACCGGAGATGCGTGCCACTCCGCGGCATCGAGCTCCACGCCAGCATCGAGCTCTGCGTCGACGAGCCTCCAATCGTCCAAGTAGCAAGTAGATGTTGCGCTAAAAACACATGTTGCAAGCATATGTTTTAAGTGTTTTAGAGGTGTGTTGCAAGTGTTTCGTATAGATATTGCAAAAATAGATCGGGATGTTGCATATGTTGCAATGTCAGTACATGTATATTGCAAACCTCTGTTCCCAATGTTTCATCTATTTTTTAGATGTATGTTGCAAGCGTGTTTGTCTGACGTTGCATATGTCTCTCACATATGTTGCAAACGTTTTATCTGGATGTTGCATGTGTTTGCAATGATTTTTAAATGTTTTCAGGTGTTTTTGCAATTGTTTCTGACTCATGTTTCTAAGTGTTTCATCTATTTTTAGACGTATGTTGTAAGTTGTATCTGGATGTTTAAAAATAGATGAAGTGTTATACATGTTGCAATGTAACCGTGTGGTGTAGCTTCTTGAGGGGTGAAGAGGATGGGACGCAGACGCCGCGGGGGCGCAGAGACTGTGGGTCGGGTGGGCGTAGACGCCGCGTCAAGTCGGTCAAGGTGCAGGTGCCGGAGTGGGGTGCAGGCGCGTGTGTCCGGAGGCTAGGAACGCCGATTTTATTTAGTCACAAAGCGTCGTCGAATGTATTGTAGTGAAAGCGTCGTCGAATGTATCACTTGATAAAAAAAAATTAAACCGAGTAATGGGCTGTTCCATCCATTATCCATTGCCGACTAAAACAGCCCAACCCATAAACTCGTACGGCCTGGCCCATCAGGAGAGAAGAGAGCTGAGCTGGCAATCCTCCCTCCCTTCCCCACTGTCAGTGTCAGTTCTTGTGCTTTTTTCCCTCGATGAAATGAAAAACTGACACTGCCACTGCCAGTCAGTTCTTCTTCTTCCTTCTTCGCCAGCGGTGGCTGCTCTCTCTGACTCTGAGGCGTCCCCGCCCCGGACCGACGACCGAGACGCCGGCAGCCAGCGATGAAGCTAGCTCCGTCGACGATTTGAGATTTCCTTCCCGGTGCCCATAAACTCGTCTGCACTCGCACGTGCGCCATTGGTGGCCAAGCTCCCGGATCGACTCTTTGCATGCAGCAGTGCCACCCACCATGCCCATTTCCTCCTCAGCTTTCTTACCAGTGTACTAGATGTTCTGCCATTGCCGAGGAGAAAGCTGGTTTCAGGACTTCAGAGGGACGCAGAAAGCTGGGCCATTTGCTCACGCAAACCCTGTAGATTTGCGTATCTAATCTCAAATGTGCTTCCAGATATTTCTTTCCGTTTTTTGTTTGATAAGAAATGGAGATTTCTAAGCTTGTGCCATAAAGCATGAGTAGTAGTAACATAAAATACTCTCTTGAAAATCTATACTGCAACTATAATGCATTAATTTAATTGCCATAACATCCTACTACCCATATAAGAACAAAACACGTTCTTTCTTTTTTTCCCCCTTAAAAAAAGAAGAGTTAAATGCACCAGAGGTCCATTAACTTGTGAGTAGGTTTTAGTTAGGTCCATCAACTTCTAAAGTGGCTTTTTGGATCCATAAACTTTATATGCCGTATCATTTAGGTCCATATCCCGCCACACGGGCTTCTCATGCTGACGTGAAACGCTGACATGTCCTTCTGAAGCAGCTCTTGGCAATGCATTTTGTCAAACAGTTTGTGGGCGAGCGGCAGTACGCTGATGCCCAACCGCGTGCGTGCATCCTAAACCCATGACCACGCCGCCGCCACCAGAACCGTACATCCAGCCAATGTCTTAGCCCCACCTAGTTCATTCTCTCGATGCAGCGGTGACGGCGATGGATCGCCTCCCTGAGGAGAGAAGAAGCATCTAAGGCCGTGGACGAGTCGCCACCGCCAACGCCGCGCACTTGGCTCACGAACGCTGATGCGATGAACTCCGGTGAATGGCCGAAGTGCCGCTCCAACACGTCGCGGTAGGAACGCAACCTCCGCCTTCTTCTGCAATGCGGTGGTTGGGACTCGGGCGGTGAGCACCGAGAAGAAATGAGAATTGCTAGCTTCCATCGATGTACTCGCCCGGTCGGCTCGTCGGTGTCCTCCTCGAGTCAAGCGGAGGCACGGTGGACATGGTCCTCCTCAACGCTTCGCTTCTTCACCTTCCCGAACCGCCGCCACGCTTCGGTGCATCGGCGTCCTCATCGTCGTCTTCAGTGAGAACGCGGGATCGAACTGTCTGGCGCCTTCTGTTGAAGCAAAGCACCGGAGCCGCGTACACGGGCCTGGATGCCGCCCAGAACTTCATGTCGATCCGAACCCCAACGTGCGTCACAAAATCGGGTGTTGGTGTTCTGCGACTCGGAGAAGCGATGGCGGACAGCAGCTGCGGTGTGCAAGTAAAGCTTTGATCACTTACGCCGAAGAAGACAGAGTCACGAGTGGCATGCCGCTCGCCACCGTCGTCCTCGGCGCCGATCCTCGCTGAGATCTGGATGAAGCACGTCTGTTCCCGGCCTCGTGGTCCATGAGGAAGCACATTGCCTCCCTCGGGACGCCGGCGTAGGCGATGTAGTGGTCGTGGTCCGAGTTGAGCACGACGAGCCGTTCGTCGGCAGAGCGGACACCGAGTGGCGAACAAACAACTCAAAAACCATCGCGAGGTTGCGGTGAAGAACAGACCCACGACGGCGACTAGAGGCGTTGAGGGCGTAACTTTCGTGTGATGTTTGAACCCGACTTCTTCTCCGCGACACGTAGAAACGGTAAGAGGCAGCTCGTTTTCGCGGCGCCCACGATCGCCGGGGTGCCCAAGAAGAACCTAGACACCATGAATCAAACTCCATTAGATGTCTTGTTGCGCTGGCACGTTGGGGTGAGGTGCACTGTGCAAATAGTCTTGAACTCTTGACGTGTATCATGGTAGGATGGTCTCTCGTGTTGTTCTCGGGCCACGGCGTGCCGTCCGACATGACCCACCCGTCCTTCGGCACCTTCCTCGCCTTCGCGGCGAGGTAGTTCATCGACCTTCAGCTCCTCGTCGCCCTCTCAACAACGACCAATTACTCACGATCACACGGGGTCAATCTCTTCTGGCGACCTATGAGTGATGAGTGATCGATGACCTTCACGACGCGGCATTCCTTGATGAGCGAGCGGCGGCGGCCCTATCCACGAGGTAGTCGGCGCGCGAGCAAAGTAGAGCTCAGCGCCCTCGGCTCCACGGCGTGATGCCGGCAGACGGCACCACCGCGTAGCGAACCCGGTGGCCTCGAACAGCATCATGTCCACGCCGTCGTTGGAGACGTAGCAGGTCAGCCTCCGCGCCGGGTAGTCCGCCGCGAGCATCGACAGGACCGTGTTCGCCGTCGCCAGCGGAGGCTCCGACGACATACCCGCGCCCGCCGCTGTCACGAGCACGTCCACGCTACCCAGCCACGACGACGGCTCACCATCCTCGCCGTCCCTGTCGTCGTCGTACCTTGATGCCAGCCTGTCGAGGTGCATCTCACGGTTGGTCGGGGACAGCTTCGGGAGCTGCGCGACGAGCCACGCGAGGGCGAGAGCGGCTTCGTGAAGCAGCGCCAGCCAGCGGCGAGCTGTAGCGCGGGTGCGTAAACGAGCAGCGAGACTGACTATTTGATAAAATTCATTGGGAAGAGCCGCTTCAGAAGGACATGTCAGCATGCCATGAGAAGCCCGCGTGGTGGGATATGAATCTAAGTGATATGGCATATAAAGTTTATGGACTAAAAAATCACTTTAAAAGTTGATGGACCTAACAAAACCTCCTCACAGGTTAATAGACCTATAGTGCATTTAACTTGGAAAAAAAAAGAATATCATACTGTAGCCGGAGCATCGAACCTTCCCTTTGCAATGAGGAGGAAGAGGGCGGCGTCCCTTTCGCCGGCGCCAGGGTCGGCGGACGCGAGCGCAATGCGTAGCCTCCGCCTGCGCCTCGTCCCCCTCCTCGCGATCGCCGCGGTCCTCTGCCTCCTCTCCTTGCCCTCCCGGCGGTCCCCGCCGCCGGAACCGCCGCTCCCCTGTGGCGCGGCGCCCTCGGACGCGACGGCGGGGCGGTGGGTGCCGACCCCGGAGCCCGTGCCGGCGCCGCTCTACACCGTGTCGTGCCCGTTCCACCGGGGCTCCTACAACTGCCTCCGCAACGGCCGCCCACCGCTGGCCCCGCTCTCCTGGGCGCCCGCGCGCTGCGGCGGCGCCGTCGTCCTGAGGATCGACCCCGCGGCGTTCCTTGCCGCCGCCAGGGGACGCCGCGTCGGCCTCGTCGGGGACTCGCTGTCCGAGAACCTCGCCGTCGCGCTGCTCTGCGCGCTCCGCTCCGCCGACCCCGACGCGCGCAGGTGGAAGCGCCGCGGCGCCTGGCGCGGGTGGTACTTCCCCCGGGACGACGTCACCGTCGCCTTCCACCGCACCGTGCTGCTCGCCAAGTACACGTGAGTACTGCTCGTCTGCTTGCTCCTCAACGCTGTTGCTTTCTTTCTTCCTGCATCTGGTTTGTTTAGACATCAACTTTTTCACTTTTAGTGATCAAATATGAAGATTTAAGAATTTGCAAAATAGAATCATGAAGCTCACATGGTGGTAACTAATGATACAAAAGATGGCAGCCAGTGGAGAACCCGGAGGAAATTCAGAAGGATGGGATAAAAGGGATTTACAGAGTGGATGTGGACATTCCTGATGATGAATGGATAAACGTCACCAAGTTCTATGATGTGCTAATTTTCAACACCGGGCACTGGTAAGGTTGCTGTTCCCAAATTTGCAGTTTTTCTTTTTCTTTTGTTTTGGCCATAGTTTGTCCATGAGCAATGTTCGACACATTTGTCCATAATCAGGTGGGTGACATACAAATTCCCAAAAGAGACTCCCCTTGTTTTCTACAAAGATGGAAAACCAATCGAGCCTCCACTCAGCATTCCTGACGGCCTGAAACTAGTCCTCAAAACCATGGCGTCTTACATCGACAGGGAGCCCCCCGAGCACGACGCTGAAGCTATGGCGCACGCAGTCGCCTAGGCACTTCCATGGCGGCGAGTGGGATCACAATGGCAGCTGCGTGACCGACAGACTCCTCAAAGAGCATGAGGTACCATTGCTACCATTCTGAATTTCTGATTTCTGACAGACGGGGACATCATCAGCTTGCTCTTTCAGTTCCAATATAATCCTGCATTTCAAATTTGTGAATTTTTTTGTTTGACTCATCATGGTGGGTGCAGCTGGACTCTTGGTTTGATCCGCGGTTTGGGGGCGTGAACGAGGACGCGAGGACGGTGAACTCGGTGATCCAAGAAGCGCTGGCAGGGTCAGGCATCCGGCTGGTGAACCTGACCTACATGATCGAGTTCAGAGCCGACGCCCATCCGGCGACCTGGCTGGGGAAGAAGGACGCGGTGGCTGTGTATGGGCAGGACTGCATGCACTGGTGCGTGCCTGGCGTGCCGGACACTTGGGTCGACATCTTGGCGGCACAAATCTTGCATTACTTCAAGCAGCTGGGAAAACGCTGATGATGCATGGTTGCTTTTCACTTTTCAGTGAACGAAGTTGTGATCACCGGCTCGATCTGCCGTCACTGCTTTGCAAATGTGGTTTCTTTTAAAACGAAAAGCCCAAGGTGATAGACTGATGATAGCTGAAGAAATATGATTTTAGTGCTAGAGACGTCGAAAACGGTCGGAGGAGTCGTAAACCATTCTCAATCATATTTTCCCCCCAAAACTGAAATCGAATATGATATCACAGAAAACCAATGCAACATCGGTACTTAAAACTAGTGAAACTAATGGACGTGATTGGTTGGTTGGATGCCCAGCCTAGCCTGGCTTGTATCACAACCAGACCTCAGCTGGACAGGCTCAACACATACGAGATTGTATTGTTTGGTTGGTTGGATTCATCTGGCCTCGCTATACAGAGACTCTGTTTGGTTACATGCATGTGCAAGCAAATTCATAGACAAGAATTCACAGAACTCTTTGTTTGGTTGCCTATACATACGCAAGATTTTGGTTACCTCATGCAAGAGGGGGTGAGAAGACCCTACTATCCAATGCCAAGTATATTTCATAGCTGGGAACTCCTCCCTGAAAGCGAGGGATTATGCGGCAATAGTAGACTGATTATGATGGAGCATTATTATAGAAGAACTGTCACAGCCAGTAGGATGACATGCCCATGAATCTAATCTACCACACGCACACACGGTCAAAGGCCGGCGGTGAGAACACACGCAAGGGCCCAAGGCCCAATTCAAATCTGCCTGCCTGCCTGCCTAACAGGCCCTACAATTACAGTGCAGTCCACTTGCTGCGAACCCTGCCTGGTGACCAAAGATTAGATGCACCAACCAGTTAACTGAAGAATATGCTGTTTACTCCAGCCCTGTACAGCTGCATGGACTCAGGGCCACGGTTAGAGAGCTTAATCTCAGTGTTTGCAGGGACGAAGAAAACATCGCCTTCCTTTGCCTTTTTCTTCCCATCAGACAGAGAATCTGCCTGGAGCTCACCTTCCCCGGTTATAACGAGAAAGACAGATGGGCCTGGCACCAAAGGATATGGTAACAAGTTCATCTGCAGGTACCAAGCAGCAATCGACCTCGAACTCATCAAATGGAGGCGTGTAGCGCCTTACGTGTGGCTGCACAGGAACGCCTTGCAAGATTTCCAGGAATGCCTGCATGAATTGAAGGAGGCTCAGTGATGATGATGACTGATGACACCCACAAAATATAAATTAAAGAAGCAAATTACAAAAACATGCCAGTAGCTTGGAAGATTGCCGATTATCAGTTAGTTTTTATTTCCTAACTTGACAGACGATGTGGTGTTCATTCATTAAGTTGATTCAAAAAAAAAATACTTACAGATTTCACTTTTTCCATGAATGTGCATATATAGGCCAGAAAAAACTAGGATTCTCAAAAACATAAATTTTTTAACACCAAAGTGAACTTAGGTACTAACTTGTGAGGTTCGACATCATCATAGATCAACGAAGATCACTGGCAACATTGTAAACACAGAGATATACTTGCAAATACGAACATACAGGTGGAACAAGTAAAATATAAAGGAAGGAATAATATAGACGTGACATAGTAATTAATATCGACACAGTCACCTGTTTGTATGTTAGCATTTGAGCAGAGAGTTTGTATATCTTTGTATTTAGGAGTCAAACCAGCACGGACAACATTGTCCGAAGTGGCCATGCATTCAATGCATTCCCCAGAGAGATACGCATGTGGTTCATTTGCACCAATATAAAGTGCTTAACCAGGGCTAAGTTTGACGTAGTTAAAGAAGAGCGTTGCTAGAACACCAACATCCTCTTGATATTGTCTCTCCAGTGACAAAACCAGCTGTTCTTTATCTGTTAAGGTCCTAATATGGATAGATAAAGAAATCATGAGCCAAGAAGGAACCAAAGGCTTCGCCATTGTTGCCCATGAAAACTTTTAAAAAGCAAGACGTGGAACATGAGTGAACACTGATGCCAAACATTTTTATTTTGGGAAAAAGGAGCCTGTTTGTCTAGTTGCTTATCAGTTATCACCATTCAAGGACCTTTTCAACCATTACAAATTGTACTGGGCAAATTTAAATGTTTGAATTGTCACAGATACCAAATTATGGAATACAGCAGTTTACTGCCTAGACATTCAATTTAGTGCATGTTTGTTAGATTTAACACCTGCTTCCAAAATATTGGTAGCTACTATATATACTTGGTGGTGTGCAAAAAAAAAGGGTGGTCATATGAACTTCAAAAGTATATGTATCATATGAAAAAATAGGGAACATTGGTGCAAATTTGTCTTGCTGTAACAGAGAAACAAGGTGTAAAAAAATAATTCAAATCATGTTAATCCAAACAAAAGGGATAATGACACGATGTAGATAAAAATGCATGGCAATCTGGGTGCCTTTTAGCATGGCAAAATTTCAAGCTTTTGACTGATCTACAACTACATGCAGTAGTACATGCATGTTTGCAGTTTCCAATGGTTCATGTCCCAATAGCAATATATATCCAACATTTGATCGAGGCTTTGTGATCAACCTTGTCAGTTATGCTAAGCATGTAATCTTTTTTATTTTCAAGGAAACATAATGTTAACATCTGTTACAAATACTCTAAATGTGTCTGAACCAATATGATATTTAGCTTTGCAAGCCGCATGCAGATGATCTTGTAAGCTATATATGTTCAACCTTAACATTATCTCATTTTTGCATTTAGCCTATATCACCATGTTTGGCAGTTAAAGTACCTTTGATGATTAAACACATCATAACAAAACAAATAAAATAATAATTTTATAATTTTTTTTGAATAATACGAATGGTCAAACATTGTTTCAAACGTCAATGGTGACCAGTATTTAAAAACGGAGGTAGTATGGGTGCAGAAAAATTATTTCATTTGCTCTCAGTATTCAGGCGACTGATCAGTTTGGCAGGTGCTTCAGAAACCATGTCTTTACTTGCTACCATTAGCTTAGCAAAAGCTGATTGCAAACTGGATTTTACTTCATTACCCCCATCATACTCGTTGAAGCTCATCAGCTTGGCAGCATGCTCATGCCCAATTAGCCCTTCAACTTCAGGTACAGTGCTCAGGAGATCCCTGAGCTCCTTCATTGTATAAACCAGGGAGAAGCAAAGCACCATTGCGACGGATCAAAGCTATGTGATCAAGGCGTATGTATGCTTCTGGGCACGGCGACACGCACGTCGTACCTGGATGCCAGCAAAGCCATAGAGCGCCCGAAACTCGGTGATGGCGATGGCCATCTCGGGCTTGTGGTTGCCATCCTTGTAGACGGACGGCCGCAGCGCGTGCAGCGCCTCGGCGAGTTTTTTGTCCGGGTGCGCCTGGATCGAGAGCGCCTTCGCCACCGACAGCACCTAACGTACGTAACCAGCGTCGCCGGCCGACGGCTGAAGCATATAACGTGCGACGTACGTGATCGAAACAAGCAAGCCAAAACAAACAAAACAGCTAGCGTACGGTACGTACCTTGAAGAGGAATGGGAGGTCGCCTCCCCAGCGCGCGGCGACGGCGGGACCGAGCGCGTCGGGTTTCCGCGTGAGCCAGTCGCTGAGGAGCAGGAGCTCGCCCTCGCCGTCGTCGTCGAGGAGCGTGGAGGGGCCCAACGGGTGCGTTCCATCCAGAGCTCAGCGTAGGGGTCGGGTCCTGCTGGTCGGCGAGACGCGCGACGAGGGAGGCAGCCCCGCGCCGGCCCCACTCGTAGTGCTGCACCGCGCAGCAAAGCCTCTGCGGCGGCGGCGGCGGGTCCTCCATATCCATTGGCGGTGCGCTGTGGTTTTTGCGCTGGGGTTGGAGGGGGCGGGGCAGACGCGTTTCTCTTCTCTTTTCCTTGGTGGCGGCCCAAGGCCCAAGGCCCAAGGAGAGCCCGATGCGGCGTGGCAAGTGAACTGGACCGCGTGCGTCCGTTTTCCTGTGTCATTTGTCCTCTATTTTCCTCCGACTCACCCAATCCTGATTGTGCGTGCGCCCCGCCCCGGGGAAGGTTCTCGCCGGTGAGAGAGGTTGTCACAGAGCCACAAAGGGAGCCGGTTGAGGGAGATCCGCCGTGGAAGACACCGCCGCAGGGGAAGAGAGCTTAAGGTGCTCCCTCTCACTAGGGAAGGGAGCTTGGGCATGACTCATCGAGGGAGCCACGCCGAGGGAGGGTCTTGCCGGGGAAGAAGAAGGAGGCGAATCATCGTCGAAGGCGGATGGACGGGCATGGTTCCACGAGTGCGCGGGAGGGAAAACTATCACAACCGTCACTTGAGGACTTGCACCAGGGCCCCTATGAATGAGGGGCGGGAGGGGATTTGAGGGGGGGGCCTAAAATTTGAGGGCTCCAGGGCCTCTGCTAAAGATTTTTTTTTTTGACTTTGGCCCTTAAATTTGGTTTCGAGGGCTCAAGTAGTGACCATGCTGAAGTTGCTCTTAGAGAAAGCAATACACCTAGATTATCATTTGTGCTCTAGCATAGGTATTAAAAGTTCCATGAATAAATTTAATGCATGCATCTAAAAAATTGATTATCTTTACTCTCTCTATTTATTTTGTAACAAAAATACCCATCTAGAATCTCTATCCATCATCTAAAAAAAATCTAGTATCTCTATCCGAATGTGTTTAAATTTGCCAATTACTCTATATGCGTTTTCATTATTTGAATTACATCTCTATGGATATTAGTTAAAACCTTCGCTTAGTTTATACGAACTCTTGTTGCTAATAAATCGATATTTTGGCTTTCAACTTTTGGTCTTATATGGTTGTTACAAATTTTGATCCATGTGTTAAATTCAAACTCTAATTCTTATTAACTACTACGTAAACCATTTCTATTACACCCTTTTTACCACCAGTTTAGAAGAATCGGCAGTGATAATATTTCACCGCCCGGTTCTAGGGCCGAAAGGGGCGCAATGGCTGTTTGAGCCACAGTAAAAGCACCTTGTTGTTGAAGTACTCCATCAATTTTCAAAATACAAGATGTTTTATAATTTGGAATGAGGACGTACATGTCAATACAAGTCACTTAAGGTTCGATCCCTTGACTGGTAGGATGTGGCACAACCACCAAAAGAAGCAATTCTTGGTTCTAACCATTTTTTTTTCTGAGGTTAAGTAGGTAGCTAAGAAGTACATGCAAGTATAATTTGCAAGAAAATGACTGGGTCTTGGACTTAACGTAAGGAGGTTTGCTAATAAGTTCTCATATTCTTCTTCTGAAGGACGGGACGGAGACTGATCCATTAGAGCATGTATTCTCATTCCAGCGATGTGACGTGTTGCCGAGCCAGGCGAAACTTTCTACGAAATGGTGGCGCCCTCGAGTGAACAATGCCATGACCCATGACACAATGGGACAACGTACAATGGTGGAAAATTGGAAATGTAGTTTACTGGTGGTCACACGTACTATTTATCATTTTATATACTGGCTAGCAGATGAGCCCGAGTCCGCTGCCCTAGCATACCTGTTCTCACTTGAAAGCCCCATTTGAAGCTTATAAATTTCACGAAACAGACTAATCTATTACTTATTATTATTATAAAATTAACACAAGATTACTAGCTAGAAGTCAATGATGCATGTGACTAGGTTTCATCATCGTTTCATGATGAATGGTTAGCCGCCAAATGCATGTTACAGTACCAAATGATAATGTTGCCAAATGCAAGCAGCAAAAGGAAAGTCGAAAAATGATCTGCGGCTTAATGAAGGCAGATAAATAATATTTGGCTGCTTACAACTAACGAATTTAGACTGCATGCCAGTTTGATTAGTTTGACTTCATGCCTCACATGCAAAAGGAAGAAGAAAAGACTTTTTGGGTGGTAAGTTCCAAGCTCGAGCAGCAAGCAGAAGCGAGCAGACCCCCATGTGTTTTATGTCTAAAATTGTACTACACACACACACACACGAGCACTCGAGTATCTTTTGTAGGCCGTCGTCTCTCGAGAATTTCCAGCCAACAACAACTGAAAAACGGCCTGTTGTTGGTACTATCGAGACTGTAGCAACAAACGTTCGGCCCATGTTCATAGATTGCTTAGCCGCCTTAGCGCAGTCAGAAGTTGACTGGATTGGTTTTTATGTACTTAGAATGTTGGGATGTCTAGCTGTAGCGATTAATGATGAAGAGATAGATTGATGAAGTAGCACCTAATATAGTTATCTGTCGATGATACCCCGGTCATAAATAATGCCGGGGCACCCTCTATCTAAGCAGGTGCATATATTCTGAAGCGGCAACTCACTGCATCTCTGATATCTCAGCTAGCTCCTGCAGCATTGCCTCTCTGGCGAAGTGGCAAGCAAGGAACTTAACCGCAAGCCATGGCGTCTGTTCCGAAGCTTCTTCTCCTGAGCCTCCTCTTTTTTCTCAGCTGCTATCGCTCTCACATTGCTCACGCAGGTGATGATGGCAGCTACAACAGGTTCTGTCCATTGGCTCTCAGTCTCTGAGGACCAACAAGTCCGTCTGTTCCGAGTCCAAAGGTGCAGTACTGTCCGTGCACGCACCAGCAGTTTCCTTTCCTTCGACTCGGTTGATTATTTTGTGCACAGTTTTACTCATATATATGACGTACAATCGTTTCCCTTGCTTTGATGGTTGTTCCCAGCAGCGGTTCGGTATTCGTCCGGTGCCGCCACGGTGCCGTTGCATCACCGTCACGGCCGCCGTTGCCGACCAACAAGATGCCAACTTTGGAGGAGAGGCTGCACCGCGACCAGCTCCGAGCTGCCTACATCCAGCGGAAGTTGTCCGGCGGCGTCAAGAAGGGCGGCCGCGGCGGCGCTGGTGGTGACGTCCAGCAATCGCACGCTGCCACCGTGCCGACGACCCTGGGCACCTCCCTGAACACGCTGGAGTACTTGATCACCGTACGCCTGGGCTCGCCGGGCAAGTCCCAGACCATGCTCATCGACACCGGCAGCGACGTGTCATGGGTGCAGTGCAAGCCGTGCTGGCAGTGGCACTCCCAGGTGGACCCATGTCAGGGATATGGGTAGGATGGACTGCCATGTGGGGCCGGGCTGTCAGACAGAAGCAAAGGCAAGGCTAAGCCAGTACAAAGGGCCAGGATGGCAAGAGGAAGGGCATCGAACAAGTAATCAGAACAACACATTCCTCTCCTAGGCTACTGTTCATCTTCCTCCTCAGTCTCTTCTTCTGTACCCTGTTCCTCTTCATTCTCTGCTCTGACCTCTCTTACCCTCGAGGTCCTGTACTCTGATTGCACTGAATAAGTTATCTATTAGCCAATCCAGTAGGGTTGCTAACAACCCACTCTTCGACCCCAGGTCGTCCAGCACCTACTCCCCGTTCTCCTGCCGTTCCGCCGCCTGCGCGCAGCTCGGCCAGGAAGGCAACGGCAACGGATGCTCCAGGTCCCAGTGCCAGTACATTGTCAGGTACGGCGACGGCTCGGTGGGCACGACCGGGACCTACAGCTCCGACACGCTCGCGCTGGGCTCCAACACCGTCGTCAGGAATTTCCGGTTCGGGTGCAGCCACGTGGAGTCGGGCTTCAGGGACGACGACCAGACCGACGGGCTCATGGGGCTCGGCGGCGGCGCGCAGTCGCTGGTGTCGCAGACGGCGGGGAGGTTCGGCGGCACGGCCTTCTCGTACTGCCTCCCGCCGACGCCGAGCTCCTCCGGGTTCCTCACGCTCGGCGCCGCGCCGGAACCTCATCGGGCTTCGTCAAGACGCCGATGCTGAGGGGCAGGCAGGTCCCCACGTTCTACGGCGTGCGCCTTGAGGCCATCAGGGTGGGCGGGAGGCAGCTCAGCATCCCCACCTCGGTCTTCTCCGCCGGGATGATCATGGACTCCGGCACGGTCCTCACGCGGCTGCCGCCGACGGCCTACTCGGCGCTGTCGTCGGCGTTCAAGGCCGGGATGAAGCAGTACCCGCCGGCACCGCCAGGCGGCGGCATCCTCGACACTTGCTTTGACTTCAGCGGCCAGTCCAGCGTCAGGATACCGACCGTGGCGCTAGTCTTCTCCGGGGGCGCCGTTGTCAACCTCGACGCCAGCGGGATCATGCTGCAGACCAGCAGCAGCATCCTCTGCCTCGCCTTCGCGGCCAACAGTGACGACAGCTCTCCCGGCCGGCATCATCGGCAACGTGCAGCAGCGGACGTTCGAGGTGCTGTACGACGTCCGCGGTGGTGCTGTGGGGTTCAAGGCTGGGGCGTGCTAGCCTGATATATATCGTGATCAGCGAAGGACGTCGTTGATATATTTATCTTTGTGATCGCAATTATCTTTGTTAATTTAATTTTCTTTTTTAAAGAATTGTTAATTTAATTATCTTTGTGATTGCAATAACGTGATGCAAGTGTGCAAATTAACTACAGTCCAACAGATAATTGTAATTTCTCCTGATTGATATATTTATTAATGCAGTGGCGAAGCTAGAGCAAATTAGAAGGTGGTGTACTTACCTTATGGATGCATAAACATGTCTGCTTGGGTTACATATATGGTGAATTTTTAATCAATCCCACTGTTTTTATATTTTTTGGGTGGTGCATTAGCACCCCTACACATTACCTACCTTCGCCCCTGTATTAATGATATATTATGTTGCTCTTCGCGTGTGATTGATACTAACTACGACCTATATGTCAATGTGTCTACTATACAACCATATGTTTTATATAATTCCAACATATGATTTTTTTGCATCATAAGATTAAGATCCAACAGCCTCCACCATTCTTCTAACTCCAGCCTTTTTCTACCTTCAGACAATCATAAGATCACAGAT